CCTGGTGAAGCAAAGGGGAGATGAATAACGCTGCAGGCGTGTGCTCCCTGCCAAGCTGCATTTGCAGAGGCTCCGGAGCCCTGCATGCTGCGGGGCGGGGGAGTCCCTGCGGCACCGCGTGCCTCCGGAGGCGCGCCGGACAGAGCAGGGAACTGGGCACAGCGGTCGAGGGGGTATTGCCCGGGTGATTCAGGGTCCAGAGGTATCCCAGATACTCACGGACAAATTAGGATGGGCCTGTGCCAGCGGGCCCTTAGCGACCATAAAATGTGCCTGTGCTTTTCCTTCGGTGCCTGCGCCAAGCTGTGTGCTGCCTGCGTGCGACCTGGGGCTTGGCTGCAGCTGGTACCTATCCTGCATCAGCAGGGAATAGCTCACGTTACCTATTCAGTGGTGTCTGTTTCTGTTAGGAGGCAGCGAGCTTTCCCTCGCTTGCATACCCGAGGCAGATCTGGGGGGACAGCAGATGCAGACAGGCATCAGCAGACAACCTGATTCGTCGGTCTGTCCTTCCAGCTAAAAAGCTCAGCGCTCCAGCGCCGCTTGGGGTCTGCGTGCCCTTATACACCCTCGTAATGCAACAAGGAGACAGGCAGGATGGCCTGGTGGCAATTTTAGGCAGAAGGTCGACAGTGAAACAGGGGCATAGAGACAGCACTATTATGTCTTCTGCCCCAAAAGGTTAACCAAAAACTTGAGTTCTTGAATATTATCCCGTTCAGAAAAAAGAAAATGGTTACGAAGGTAGAGGCTCTCTCACCAGAGTCCTGTTCATAAAAACTCAGTGAGTTTTCTTCCCCTGAACCCAGGAAGATGTGTGCAATGGGAGCCTAGGCCTTTGCTCAGATCCCGCCTGCTCCGAGTAGCATCCGCAGCTGGCCACGTCCCCTGGGCTGCTTTCTCCCAGCTTCTCTGCACGTACCTGCCTGCAGCCACGGGTCTGCGGTGGAAGCGCTTGCTGCTTCTCAGGGAGGGCAGGGTGGCTGTCCTACCTGGAGTGAGATGCAGGGGCTATGCGCACCCTGGGTTTCGGGCACATTGGCCCCCTCGCACCTCCTGCCATCCCAGCTGTCACCTCTGTCCAGATGCTGCTCGAAACAACAAGGCTCAGATAAACCTGCCCTGAAGAGTACGGAGGAAAATCATTTAAGAAGTGATGAAAGACACATTCTTACTTATCTGTAATTACATAGTACGTTTCAGTGAGGTATTTTCCTACTTCTAATCCAGAACACTTTTACTCCCCTTTCTTGTCATTTTCTGCTCCTTGATTTCCTTTCAGACAGCCGCTTGCAGGGTGCTCTCAAAGCGCCTTCGCCCTTTCTGGGTGCTGGCTGCAAAGCTCAGCCCGTGTTGTGCTAGTGGGGAGGAGGCAGACGAGTGCTTCAACTTCTCCAGCCTCAGCTTTCCACAACAACGTTTGCAGTTGGAGAAGAGCGGAGGCAGAGGGAATCCCTAAACTTCTCCTTCCCTATCGCATTTTCTCATGGCTTCATGATAGCGTTGGATTTCATTTCGGAACCCCACTGTGCTCGGAATATCACCATAAATACACAGGTCAGCACCATATAGTCTTGTTCTAGGTTTATCCTTTTTAAGCTTGTCCCCAAAATGGTGAGGAAGGCCGGGAAGTGCTTTGCTCCTCTTGGGGCCTGTTGTTGCACAGGCCTTCAAAAGGGATGGGATATGCTGAGTCTTACCACTTGATGCAATCTGAGAAGGAATCCAGTTAACTGCCAAAGTCTGCAAAAAAACATCTCACTAGTCCCTCAGGCTGTGGTCACATGGAGATGTTTTAGGGATCCCAGCAACCTCACAGATCTGCTGAAATATTCTGGGTTCAGTGTTTCCCCCTTGAGCTTTGTGCAATCCTCCCATACCTCCTCGGACTTGGAGGGAGAGGACTTCTTTCACTAGGACATCTGGCATGAGTGTCCTAATGGATGTGCTTCAAGGCAGCTTGTGAAATAGTCCACAGCTACCAGGATCTGCTTCAGACAGGCAGTCCATTAATGACCGTGAGATATTACTTCATGGGGTCTCTGTGTTTCTGCAGGACCTTTCTTTGCAACAGGAGCATTAATTTCCTGCACACATTTTCTAGATCCTTCCTGAATCTCACCCAATAGGATTTTTCCCTTAGCTTGGCTACGGTTTTTTGGAAATGTACAGAAATCCAATACGGTTTGGAACATCTGCCAATTTTAAAATACTAATCTCAGACCTTCCTGTTCCAAATATCTTCCGACAAGGCTCACCACAGGTGATTTCCATACACTTCATCTTCTACACAGTATTTTGTCTTTAGCTCCTAACTTTCTCACCACGGCCAGAAGGCTTTTTCCTTGGTACTCCACAGGTATGCTTCAGCCCACGCCGGTTGGGTTTCCCAGCTCATTTTCCAGCTGCACCCTACTGGGATCCTCTGTGTGACACACTTTTTAGTACAGGCTCATTTGGGAACTTGCATTCCCTTCCTAGCATTGCCCTTCCTTGGTTTTTCTGAGTGAACTAGAAGGGTTTGCACATCTACAAGCCATAAGAGAGGAAACAAGCATCTCCTCCTTGCTTTCACCCCCTTGAACCATCAGTTCTTCCACTTCCCATCGACAACATCATTCACAGTTAGCCCCAAGCCTGCTGCTGGGGCTAGGCATCACTGCTACTCCACTTGTGCCCAGATGTGTATTTAACGGTGAGGTTGCACAACTGTTTTTCTCAGTGTTGGGCCAACTTGCATGTGGGAATCCTAAGCCCCCAGAGCTATTGCAGGGATGCACAGTCTACCCTCACTACTGTGTTCCTCCTGTGCCAATACTAATGAAACTTTTCTGTAGACTTAACCCTTGGAAAGGACTTGCGCTAGCTGAAACTGCTAACCACTGCTGGCCACTGAAATGCTCTCCCTCTGTCACCCTACCTGGGCAATAGTTTTGCAATGTTAGCAAATCTACAAACAAACCTTCTGTAATAGGAGCAGAGTCCTGCAAAGCTGCAGCTCTGCGAATGCCTGGGGAGCGGGCCACGTCCCTGCAGTCCCAATTTTTTTTTTCAGTGGATATTCCCCGTCACCAGTCGTGTGGCGGAGCTAAGTTACCTGCTTTTGGAACAACTCCCTTTCCTTTGGGACCGGTCACAGATGGCCAGCCTTGAACTTATCACAAGCCATGTGTAACTGCACCAGTTCTTGTTCAAAGGTCTCAGCAAGCACCCATAAACAGTCTGAGCACAGCAGAGCTCCTGAAAGGCCGAGGGACGCGTGCCACACTATACCTACCTGCAACGTAGCTGGCGCATTACGTGAGCCCCACGGCCATTGCTGTAAGTCGCTTTGCCGAGGAGGCATTTCAGCTCCGCTTCCACCTGCCAATATACAGCTTTCAGGGCTCTTGTGAGAGACCAAACTGAACCCACTGGTATCATCTAAGACATTCTCATCCCGGCCACAGCTTCTTCCGAGTGACTTCAGCAGGGGTGACTTCAACAGAAAGTTTTTTCGCTTGCTCCTGGTCACTGCTCCTCAAAAGCATCTGGCAAAGAGGTGGGGACGGCTCCTGCGTGCCCCCCGCAAGTCCTGACTGACCCCTCGGCAGGCGTCTCTGAAGGCCCTGGGTCTCCAGGCAGGTTTCAGATCTGGAAGCTGTCTCTGAGCAGAGCCTCCTTTATTTTTTCTGCCTCAGGAGGCGGGACAACTTCCCATGCCAAACCAGATGCCTACAAATGGCTTGCTTCCCTTGAAACACATCCTTAGAGGGACTTTCCAAACTGCCTGGGTAAGGCGCTGCTCCTGGTGCTTGTCAGGCAGGCACCGCCGGTGGGGGCTCCCCCCCCTGCCACTGCACCTGACTTTCTGCTCCAACGCCCCGGTTTTACCAGCTGGACTTCCCCAGGTTTTCGATGCGTCTGTGCTCTCCTGTAGCCACTCTTCATTTCAGGCTGATTAGCTGGGTCAGCACTAGCGTAAGCACTGCTCTAGCTTGGCTGCTCTGGTAGAGGTTGGGCGAATACCAAGCGTTTCACACGGCCCAAGAGTGCCTCTGTGACCAAACTCCCATTGCAGGTTTTTTTTTAACAGTTCATCACAAAAACACAGGACTGATCTCTGCACCACCAAGCTTGACCTAACCCCATTTGCCCAGCTGGCTGGAGGCTTTCGTTCAGCTCTGCGAAGGCTTCATTGCACCTGTGTCTTGTCCTGGCCCACCACCTTCCCACAGTCAGGTTATTTCTGCCTCAGGATTCAGCTGAATTTTTGCATGGCCGCCGTCTCTATTGTTTTACATACCATTAGGTATTAGGTATTTCTCCGAAATAGAAAGTTCTCTTTTCCTCTGTGTGTTAGCCACAGAGCAATGCTTGCAGGGCTCCTGGGGACTGACCAGCTTCTCACCAGCATCTGCTGCCTGCCCTAACGCTCTGCGGAGCCAGTGATTTAAGCACCTTGGCAAATTCCCCTGCCTCTTGCAGTGCCCTTGGTTTCCCATCAAACACAGAGGTACCATCTCCGGCTCAGGAGATCTCTGCACCACAGTCCATGGGACGTGGGAGACTGGGCTGGGGAGCTTTCACTCCACGTGTGCCCTGTTTGCCTGCTCCTCCCCAGGCATCTCCTGCTGAGCTCTGGGACAGCTGGACCTTTCTTATGACCCAGCCCAGATTTCTGTGCGCTCTCCTTTCGTTTCTTCCCTTGGACTCAATCTGTTCATCCCAAAGCAGTTGAATGGCTATGAGTAGGTCAACGTCCACTTTACCCTGGAAGTCTTCAGTAATATCACTTGAGTTTTTCACCCACAATGTTCCAGATCGTCTGCCAGTTCAGCTGAACTCTGTTCCCCCGCACTTTCTAGCACATAGCTGACCAGCTGTCTCTAATGTGATCACTGATTCCTAATCATATATCCTTCTTAGATAATTCTTTTTTTTTTTCTCGGAGGTAAGCATTCAGTGCCATAAGAGCTAAACCAATCGAGCCGGCTGCTAGGTACCATTTTGCAGCGCTGTTCCCTTGCGCTATGGTTACGGACTGAGTCGAATAAGCCTCTCCAGCATATTCACCTCAAAACAGTGGTTTCTGCATTGATTCAGCTGGGGCATAGAGTCTGAGTCCTTCCTCCTGCCGGCTGCAAATGGTGGTGACTGTTCAGTATTAGGTGGTGCTCTGGCTAGCCCTAGCCTACAGCAGGAGGCTGTTTTTCCCTGTGGTTACCTGCAAACCTTTGATTTCCTTTTCTGAGTGATTTTTCAGTTCCTTAACTCTTTACTGCGGTTCATCTTGGCTAGTAAACTGGCCATAGCTTTTCTTATGCCTCTTATTTTCTGGAAAACATTCTTTTCCATGATAGTCATGCTGCTGATCACCTTTGATCCATCTTGCCATTTTAAACTGGGAATCTTCCAGGAGTATTTCTCACTCTCTGTGGACACTGAAGCCTTTTATCCTTGTATGCAGGTGACCTTTTGGAAACCTCTTTTAGAAGTTTCCAGATGTTCCTTGAACTCCTTTTGCAAAGTCTCCAGCTGTCTCAGATCATGTTTTGTATCTTTTGGTCATTTTCGACTTCCCACTTGGTTCAAGAGGAATCCCAGAACTAGGATTTGTCCTTTGGGAGCCAAGTCTTACTCCAGACATTGTTTCCATAATTGGAAGATTTGTAGGAGGATGAAACCGGTAAAGGAAGGAGGGGCACCAGAAAAGCCCCCCTCCCTCCCATCTCTTCGTTACAAAAACCATGCAAGCTCCTGTGTCCTTGCCCGCTGGAGGAATTGGCTGGGGGAACTGTGTCTTCTCTCAGAGGTCAAATTCCCCTTGAGTCAGCACTCACCCCAGAAGCTCTCCATGTGCTTTATCTCAGGGCTAAGCTCCTTCTTTTCACTTGGGCTGGGTCTGCAGCTTTCTTCATGCTTTCTGGGAGACCAGTCCAGTCAGGAGGAGGAGAATTAGGTGCTGGAGGTGCCAATTTTTCGGCGCTGACTAAAGGAGCGCCTACAGCGATTAGCTCCATCTTAGAAGTCCAGCTTGGATGGCTAAACTGGGGCAAGCAAACGCACCCTACGTGGCTAATCACCAGATGCCCATAGCCGGGAAGCTTCACGTGCAGTTTGTTAGCTCCCCTCGCCTAGGGAGAAGGACTAGCGTACAGCCTGCCTAACAGTTGGCTTTTCTCACCAGTAGCAAATTCTCCCAACAGCCCAAGACCATCCCACGGAGCTCTCCTCCTGGCACCCCCAAGTATAATGTACGTGCACACGGCCCACATTGAGAAAGCTCCCAGTTTAGGGGCACCGACAGTGTGAGAATGTCATCAGGTTAATGGGGGAACAAGTTAAACAAGCCTGCAGGGTCACTTGCTTTTCTGACAAAGGAGGAGCCTCTAACACCCCCTCAGGGCCTTTGCCGCTCCTAAATCCTCCGTCACGCTTCACACATGGGCAGTGCGGTCACAGCAGCCGCCAGCATATGAAAATCACGAGTCATAGTCCCCAGAAGATTACCTTAAAATCACGAACATTAAAAAGGAACGATGTGCGGATCTTGTCTTTGGGATGGGGGGGGAGGGGGAATTTCTCTCTGTGAGGTTTAGTTCCCTCCCAGCCGCTATCAGGGCCAGAAACTGCCTCCTTTCCCCCGGGGTGCACGGTCACACTCCTCTGGGAGCCGGAGCTTTGCGAAGGGAGGGGAGAAAATCCCAGCCGAGGGCACAGGAGAGGGGCACTAGTGGGCCTGCACGCAGCGCGCCGGGGCACGTGGGGAGGGGAGAAAATCCCAGCCGAGGGCACAGGAGAGGGGCACTAGTGGGCCTGCACGCAGCGCGCCGGGGCACGTTTGCAGCGCGGGAGCACAGCTGGCAGCGCTGCCGCGGAGCGAGCGGCCCCCCCCCGCCCCCCTCCCCG